CTCTGCATGCCTATCCACTTTCCTTCTGATTAAAGAATATTTTTAAGTACTTTCATGTGTGTCTGCTATGATTAATTCTCTCAATTTTTGCTTGTCAAAATATTATTTGCCATTTGATAGTTCTTCCTGAAGAATATCTCCTCTTGAAAGGGAATGCTGGGTTGACACTTAATTTTATTTCAGGACTTTGAGGTTGTGATTCTATGTTTTCTGGCCCTACTCCCCCTTGTGTTTTGTGGAAAAGCTGGCTAAAGTCAGGCTAATTGTGTTATCTGTGAAGATAATTTGTCCTTTACCCCCTCTTGTTGCTTTCATAATTTTTCTTTGCTTGGTAGCAATTTTACTACCAAGTATAAGGATTGGCATTTATTTTTACTAATACATGGTATTTATTTATCTTACCTCTGGCTAATGGTAATTCCTGAATCTGTGGGTTAGTGGCTTTTATGAAGGTTTTCAAAAAATAATTGGTGTATCTGCTGCTACCCTATTCTGTCTTCTCCTTCCAGGACTCCTAAAATTCTTACTATCCCAACTCCATTTTTCCCTCTCTCTTCCATATCTCTCCATCTTCCAATGCGCCATTATGAATATTCCCTGCTACCCTATTTTCAGTTTTTTCCTTTAGTTGGACTACTCTATTATTACATCCCTTGAGTAAGTTTTTAATTTCGGTTATTGTATTATTTTGTTCTCTATTTCCGTGTGGCTCTCATCCATAATTTCTAATTATCTGCTGAAATTCTTGTGTCTTATCTTACCCACTGTAGTAAGCATAGTTATTTTAAAGTCTTTCTCTGCTAAGTCTGACTCTATCTAGAGCCCCTGTTTTTGTTTCTATTACCTGTTGTTTCCCATCAGTTCTCATTGTTTTTTGTCTCCTTATGGACACGGTCATTTGTTCTAGTGTGTCGGACATATATTTGAAATAGTAAAGACATAATTTAAAGCCCAGATGTTATCTTCCTCCATACTATTTGCCCTGCTTCTGCAAACTCCTGAGGCTCTAGCATTTCAAAATTACGTTATGCACTTTCAGAATTTGAAATGACTGGAAGGTGAATTGCAGTTTCCAGTGCAGATCTGCTTACCTTTGTATCCCCCATGTGCAGTTTTGTGGAGCCCTGTTGCACTGGGGTTTCGCGAGAGACAGACAGCGTCGCCACAGGTGTAGTCTCGCATCTGGAATTATGATGATGAAAGACACAGACTACCCGCTGATGGCAAGTAGCAAAGTTTATTGTTCTTGACCACCCTTTTATAGTCGGCTGGTCACTATTAATTAACAAGTAAAGTATACATACTACTAATCTTTTTAAAAGTTAGTTCAATCTTCAAAGAGACACAAAGTTTGAAAACTCGAGGTGGCTGCAAAAGGGAGCACATCTGGAGACTTGAGATTACCAAGAGGAGAGTAAGGCTTTGAAGTTTTGCTATGCACTCATAAGTAAGAAAGCAGGTTTGCATGACCTTTGTTTCTAGGCAACCTGCAGGCCTGCTGTTTTCCAATAAACATTACTTTTATCAACCTCTAGGCTGTGTCTCCTTAGGAAGGCTTTTAACCCTTTCCTCGCAGGCTTAACAGCCACATAGCCAGAGTCGCTGAAGATGGGTTTTTAGGCCCAAATCTTCAGGCCCTGTTCTATGTTGATTGAGGCTACTGGGTCTTTGACAGAGTTGCTTTCCGCAAAAGTCTGTCTGCCTGCTTCTGGAGTTTAAACTGAACACACAGCATGTGGGTTTTATCCCACACAGCCCCAGCCCAGTGTCCGTGAAATCGTGCTGGAGCTTTAGACAGTGGATTCTCGGGTGGTCAGACAAAGAATCGAAAGACACACCACTAAGTACACAGAGCCACAGAAACAGAGTCGGACAGATGACCGTCCCTTGTACAAACAGAGTCAGAGCAAAGCCTGCTTGCTACCCTCAAGGGCCATCTGTCCCCATTCCTTCCAGGGAGGCTCTGCTAGCCACACAGGGAATACCCTGGCCAGAAGCTCTCAGTTGACACACCCTGAGCAGACTGGGCAACCAGGATTAAGAGCACACACCGTGTTAAAGCATTCAGAGTTTACTGAAAGACATTAAAAAGCTCTATAGTTCAGACAAGGCTCCACAGTAGAGGGGTAGCAGAAACGGCTTACTATCCTGCGCTGAAATCTTTACTTCTTATGTATTCAAAGCTACCTTTTTCTAGTGTGGTATTCTTGCCTAATGTACATAGTCCCAGCAACTCCTCCTCTACCCTCCTGTGAATCCATCGAAGCCGCTGATCCTGGGGAACATCAGAGTCTCCTGCTTTCGTCCTGGATGGCACTCCTTGATGACCTTGGTGCAAGGTCAACACCTATTGTGGAAAGTAGTAATTCTAAAATTAATCTCAGCATCATACACTCTGCAGGAAAGATGACTTTCCCCACCTTGTCACGACCCCCTTCCTCAGCCTCCATCTGCCTGTAGATAAATTTACTCCTATGTTAACCTCCTCTGGCCCTATGCTTTATTTTGTTAATTTCTGTGGCTTGCTCAGAAATTAACCTGAGAGTTGCTCCCTGCTTTTCAGAGAGTCCCTTTGAATAATAGACCGGGGCTACATTTTGCTTTTCGGTGACCTCCTTGAACAAGAGCTCATCCCTGGAGAAAGCCTTAGCTCTAATCCCTTCAGCTTCTCAGCCTCTTACTCTTCCTTCAGGAAGCAGCACAAGCCTATAGGAGAAAGCTGGCTTCAAAAGTTAGGCTGACCTACCCGAGCCTCAGTCTTCCTCGGAATATGGCATCTTCATGCTTTGCTATCTCGTTTGCTCTAGGATCTCCAGACAGAGCTTTTCTGATTCTAGTTTTCTTCAAAGGGAATGATTGGTCCAAATTACCTAGTCTCCTATTACCTGAAGCAGAAATCATTACCCTATATTTCAATGAACATTCTAGCCTCACCCAAAACATAATGTAATAAAATTTTATTTGTCAGCAAATCATGCCTTTTTAAAATGGCTAACTTAAAGCAGTCAGTCTATCATTTGATAGAGGAGGGAAAAGACAATTTTTCTACATAGTCTGTGTATCATTAAAAATTATAACTACATAATTATGCATAATGACTGATAAAATCACTTATATTATGTGCAAAAATGCTAAGAATTTTTTTTAATCCTATGAGGTAAAGAAATTGTTTCTGTTCAAAGAGATTTAAGAGTGAACTTCTCTATCGAAAAGGGTAGAGGATACTCATTTAAGGGTTTTCATTCCAAATGAAAGAAACTAAAACTTGGCAGATTGGTCAATGTTTTTAGGAAATCTATGCCTAGGGATGAAATGGCCTTTTTATAATTGAGATTGAAAGATGGGAAATCAAGTCATTTTCATAAAATCCTAGAAAGTTTTCTTTTCTACTTTTATGCCATTTTTTTTTAGATCGTCCAGCTTACTTAGTTGTTGGTAAGTGGTTTCTGTTCTGTAACTATACACTTTTTTCCCCTAGAGTCTCTTCTCTCGTTTGAGTAAATTATAACACATATCATTAAGCATGTTTTTTAAACCCAATAAAACAGAACATTTTTAAAGCTCAATGTTTTCTCTTGTAATGTTAGTTTCTTGTGTAATTAAAATGCATAAAGAAAAAAGTTAAAGAAAAACAGTAGGAGAAACAACCACATTCCTACTAGCAGCAACGGTACTGTATATGCCTAGAAATTAACCTAAAAAGAAATGTGTAAACATGGAGTTTATATGAACAAACATTTTCCTTAGTTTTCCAAAGATGTTTCAAGTTTAAGAATTACAAAACCCTTCATGGAATGAAAAAGCAGAATCAAAAATTAAAGGACCAAAGCCAGGCTCAGACCTGTAATCCTAACACTTTGGGAGGCTGAGATAGGCGGATTGCTTGAGCTTAGAGCCTGAGACCAGCCTAAGCAATGGTGAGAACCATCTCTAAAAATAGCTGGGCATTGTGGCGGGCACCTATAGTCCCAGCTACTCAGAAGGCTGAGGCATGAGAATCACTTGAACTCAGGAGTTTGAGGTTGCTGTGAGCTGTGATACCACAGCACTCTACCCAGGTTGATAGAGTGAGACTGAGTTTCAAAAAAAAAAAAAAGTAAAAGTAAATATAAAATAAAATAAAAATTAAGGGACCACAGTTTTTTCTTACCAAGTTGTCTAGGTGGTTTGGGGGAAAGTAGACCAACCCTTGACATGGGAACTTTTATTTCATTATTTCATTACTCAGTGCACAGAATCATGTCTCAAAGAGGCCCAGGTCACTGAATATTCAGGCTTCAATTCTGATACTTTCCTCATGCCTTTCACTTATTAAAAATTTCATTTATTATTGATCATATTTAGATGCTCTCATCTTTTGCATGTGAAAGGAAAGATGGAATTGGTCATTTGGTCAAAATACCAAATCATTAATAAAATAATTAATAAAAGATGAACCTCAGAAAGATAAATTCTACTTCTCTGGAGTTATTTTTAGAGTGAATATAAATAATTTCTGACTTTATCTAAGAAATGCTAGACATTTTCTTCCCAATGACATTTCTCTAAATGAGGAAGAAAAATAGCTAGAGGCCTGAGTGGTGGAATTTTCTTTTCAACAATAATTATCTTTGTGTACTACACAGCGTGACACATGAGTGATTCGCCCCTTACCACATACGTTCTGATAATAATTCTGGTCATGAATTAAGGTTAACAGCGGGACGAGGTGGAAAGCTAATCATTGATAACAATATTATTTTAAACCTACTTCTGCTATTGATTTCATTTGTTTTCTTATATATCGTTTTACTCACAGTGAACTAGAAACATTGCCTAAGCTACCAGCTGCTTGCGGCTGCTGCTTATGAGGTGTTCAGAGTTGAGGTCACCAGAGCTTCCTAAGCAAGATTTTCCATCAATAGCCTGAAGATACAGAGATGGCTGTAGTGTCTGGTGGACTCTCCCTCTCATACAGACCTTTTCCTTTTATGTACGGCAGCCACTTCTGATTTTTCTTTTTATTTGGGCACAGATGGGAAGAAGGAAGTAGCCAGATTTATTTGTGGGACAAAATTTTTTTTCAAACTTTTCCTCCGTCCTCCCTGTAAAATAAAGGAGTATGTCAGTTAGTAATTGGCATACATGACAAACACTGTTTTTCAGAAGCAAATTACATTACTCATTCGTATAGAGATATTAATTGTCCTAGAAAAAACAGTACAGTTATTTACTTCACAATTCTGTGTGTCTCTAGGGGAAAAGTGTGTTAAAAATAGGAATTGGGGCTCCTAAAGGCTGTGGTGCATGAGCAAAAGCTATAAACTATTTAACTGGGACTCAGCTGCATTTCTGGGACTCAGCTGCATAATCTGAAAAGTTGGTACAAAACAAAGCAAAGCAAGAATTAGTTAGTAATTAACACTGCATATTAACAACATCAGAGTCCAGCGTCATAGAAGATAAAATCAAGTGATGATTACATAAATGAGAAATGAAAGTTTGTTCTGAAATATGTATTTTGCAAAAAAAAAAAGTCTAACAATTTAAACTCAATTGGTTTAAAAATTCAGATGAAGAAGTGTCTAATTTTACCAATAAAAATTAGCCAACAGTTATTCAGCCAGCAGTTATGATATACATCAATTTGATTTTACGGTCTGTTATGGGGAAGAGGAGAGAAAGAGCAAGAAGGGAAGAGAAGATAGAGTTCTAAGGGAAAAAGAAAGACAGTAAGTGACCCTGGAAGGTCAAGATTCAACCTCATAAAGATCCTTCAGGCCTGGACGCTGGTAGGTCATGTGACAATTCCTTTCTTCCTGAGACAAGGTAGGAGGCTTAGTTCCCTAGATGAACCTGCTAAACCCCAATTGAGGGGAATTTCCAAGCTATATAGATCTTTCTTTCTTTTATTTTCTACTTTTCTTCTTCTACTTCTTTTTAAAACTCATTCCTTAGTTTATTAGGCAAATGTTTTTGAACATAAAAACATTTGAACATAAGAACATCTCTTTATGTTTTAGACACTGGCGTTAGAGCAGAGAATAAGAAGCAAGACAAAATTTCTGCCTTCATGGATCTTACATTCTAGTGGGATACAAACAATGAAAATAAATAATTTTTAAGGAAAAATATGCCATGGATTATACTCTTAGGAATATAGATACATGGGAGCTGGTGGGTTCGAATCCAGCCCAGGCCTGCCAAACAACAATCACAACTACAACCAAAAAATAGCTGAGCATTGTGGCGGGTGCCTGTAGTCCCACCTACTTGGGAGGCTGAGGCAGGAGAATTGCTTAAGCCCAAGAATTTGAGGTTGCTGTGAGCGTGATGCCATGGCACTCTACCCAGGGTAACAGCTTGAGACTCTGTCTCAAAAATAAATAAATAAATAAAAATAAATATATAATAAAATAAAATTATGGAGATCTCTCTGCCATTAAATTTTTCTTTGGAATAACTATGGAGTATGTTGTCAAATATACCATCTTTCACTTGTCTATTTTTATTTTTTATTTATTTCTTTATGTTTTTGAAACCGAGTCTCACTCTACCACCCAGGTGAGAGGGCAGTGGTGCAATCACAGCTCACTGCAACCTCAAACTCCCTGGCTTAAGGGATCCTCCCACCTCAGCCTCCTGTATATCTGGTACTATAGGCATGCACCACCACACCCAGCTAAATTTTCTATTTTTTGTAGAGATGGGGTCTTGCTATATTGCTCAGACTGATCTCCAATTCTGGCCTCAAGTGATCCTTCTGTGTTAGCCTCCCAAAGTTCCAGGATTAAAAGTGTGAACCACTACACCTGGCCATTTTTCTATGATTGGATGTGTGCTCACAATTTTGAAAATGGGTTATACTTCACAAAGTTTGCTCTTTCCCCACAATTAAACTAAAAAGGAAATATAATCTCACATTCTAATTTATGTTTGGCTGTGCTATGGTTAATATTTTGTATTTTTTTGTTTAATTCTAAAGAGATTTGCAAACCATTTAAAGAAGTTAAAAGTCAAAACCAGCATATCTATATTTAAAAATAAGTTAAAAGAGGTTAAGATCTCTGTTATTGGACTCTTTGCTCAGAGGCCTTTCTCTCCTCTGTCCTATGAGCTCCTTCATCTATAAATGGATTCTTGGTGCCTAGAATGGTGCAAGGCACATAATGGCTACTTTAAGGTTTTTCCATGATTATTCCAAAATGTGTTTTATTAAAATGAAATTTTTACATCAAACTATCTGAGGTCATTTTATGCCCACCTCCATGGAAGTGTTCTTTTTTTTTTTTTTTATGAAAATAGGCATTTGATGTGTATTTATCAATTTTATTTCATCCACTATTTTCCCACTTAGGCTGTTCGGGTTCCTCAAATTGCAGACCATCAACATGGTGGTGCTTTAGTCTATTCCAGTGTCCAGATTTTATTGTCATCTTACTAAGTGCATAATTTTCTGCAAACTACTTAATAATATCTTGGAAACTAATTTCCACTCTGTGACTCTTAACTATTTTCTTCATTAAACCAGCAGATAATTTTATTTTTATTTTATTTATTTATTTATTTTTTGAGACAGAGTCTCACTATGTTGCCCTCAGTAGAGTGCTATGGCATCACAGCTCATAGCAACCTCAAACTCCTGGGCTTAAGCAATTTCCTTGCCTCAGCCTCCCAAGTAGCTGGAACTACAGGTGTCTGCCACAATGCCCAGCTATTGTTGTTGTAATTGTTGTTTAGCAGGCCCAGGCTGGGTTTAAACCTGCCAGCGCTGGTGCATGTGGCTGGTGCCCTAACCATTGAGATATGGTGCCAAGTCAGCAGATTTAATCATGGTTTTGTGCCTCCTTTTCTGTAAGCAAATGGAGACATCTACTCCCTTTGCCTTTCTTGAGTGATCAACCACCTATCAGAGTGATTAAGGGAAATAAAGCAACTATTTGAACATTAGGTATATTAAAATTTTCTTTGTATTTGGACAAATACTTTATCATTCCTCATAATCGCTGATAAAATTAATTATAGTAGACTAAACTTCTGATTATTGGAGTGTACATTAGTCATTATGCAGATTAATCATGACTAATTTTTAATTCATATTTTGCCTTGCCCCTGCTGCTTAAGACATATTTGAATCTTCCTTTGTAATGTTTACTTAGAGAATGTAAAGTATATTTAATAATATTAGATGTGGTAAAACCTAAATAAGAATGTAAGCATGGGGCATAATACACATGAATCATAAAACCCTGTACAAATAGTGTTTTGATAACTTCTTAGTTTTGAATTATTTATAACCCTGTGTTTTATCTATTATTTAAAACAACTAAAGTAAATCATATATGCATATACATATATAAATTTATTTATTTATACTTTTTTTTTTGAGACAGATTCTCAGTGTTGCCCAGGCTAGAGTGCCCCTGGTGTCAGCCTGGCTCACAGCAACTTCAAACTCCTGGGTTCAAGTGATCTTTCTGACTCAGCTTTCTAAGCAGCTGGGACTATAGGTGCTCACCACAATACCTAACTAATTTTTTCAACTTTTTCTATTTTTAGTAGAGACAGGTCTCACTCTTTCTTGGGCTGATCTCAGACTTCTGAGCTCAGGGGATCCTTCTGCCTCAGCTTACCAGAGTGCTGGGATTACAGGAATGAGCTGCCATGCCTGACCTGTTTTTATAGGAAACTCTTCTATTGCCAGAAATCATTACTTGGATAATTTGGCAGAGATGATGGACAATAGGAATCATTCATATCTTCATTAAACGCATAGGCTAACAAAATTATGGCAAAGTTGTCTATAGGAATTCAATAAAGCAGCTTTTTAAAATTGCTGTTCTTATTGTCATTGTGTTTGTTATCTGTTATTGATTGAATTAGGCACAGATAATACGAACTACCTCCTTTTTGTTTTTAATAGATTTTATAGAGAGGAGACTTCTAAAAATTACCGTGTGTTAGATCTTTCTCTTTTTTATTTTTTTTGAGACAGAGTCTCACTTTGTTGCCTTTGGTAGAATGTCGTGGCATCACAGCTCACCGCAACCTCAAACTCTTGGGCCCAAGTGGTTTTCTTGCCTCAGCCTCCCAAGTAGCTGGGACTACAGGCTCCTGCCACAGTGCCTGGCTATTTTTTGGTTTCAGTTGTCATTGTTGTTGTTTAGCAGGCCTGGGTCAGACTCGAACTGCCAGCCTTGGTGTATGTGGTCAGCGCCCTACCCACTGAGCTACAGGTGCTACCTAGATCTTTCTCTTAATGTTAGATCTATTTTAATGATTAATGGCCATGGGTTAAGTTAGGCCCATGCCAGCTTCTAAAACTAGTAGAAAATAGTGAGAGAATTTTCACTGTGTGGGCTTTTATGGTTTAAAAGGATGAGTGTGAAATTTAGAGTCAAAGTAGATTTCAGTTTATCACTTAATTAGCACATGATGTTTGGCAAGGCACTTGGCCTTGCTTGAGTTTCCATTTTTCCCCAACTCTAGGATGGGTCTACCATTTTCTTTGTATTTATTATGAAAAAGATTGATTCAAAGGAATCATTTCTGTAAACACTTTGTAGCTGTATATTATTAATAGTTATTCCTATTAAGATATGAGAAAAAAATTTGTTCATGAGCGAGAAACTTTTTGTTGTCACAGCTTCATCGTGGAGGTCCAGTAAGGTTAACAAGAAAGGGTGATTCCAGGCCCTCAGCTGTGTTGTGTAAAAATGCCACTCCGTGAATTTCAGTGGTGTAGCTCTAGGAAATTTTCATTAGCCCAGGCTCACTGGTTCTCTCTGTCCAGAAAATTTATGATTTTCATTTCACTGACCCAAAGCATACACATCTGGAATCTTCATATAAAGAGTATGAACTGAAATAATTTTAGACCCAGAATGTTTCTGGGACCAGAGAAATAATTACAAACCAAACAGAGATGGGAGGCACTATGGAATTAGAATTCAGCGGTGCAATTAGGGCTCACTTACTCTTTCGTGTTGAACGTGACCCCCCTTCTTCTTTCCTGGGATGCCATCTACAGATTCCCTTTGTGCCTCTGCACCGATGAGTGGCAGGAATTTGAGAGTAGTGGGGCTTGCCACCTGGAAGTCATAGATACCTTAGTCAGACAGGCTTGAAGTGATTATTTCTGTAATGTGAATCTGGGGGTGGAGGGTGAGGATTGAGAAGGCCCACTTTCTTCTTGTGTAATTGTATGTGGGCCCGCACAATTACCCACTATTAATTCTTGAGAGTTCACCATTAGCATCATCAATTATCTTATGTGTTTCATACCTGTGACGATAAACATGTTTTCAGCAAAGATAAGGAACATTTAAGATAAAAATTAAGATTAAGTTGACATATTTGTTCTTTGGTTTATTATTTATTGAGTTAGTTAGTCCTTTAGCAGAAGTTACTTGGGGTGGAGACTTGAAGGGTGTGTTAAAATTTGGAGGGAAACAAGAGACAGATGGAAGGGGCCACACAGGCACGATCACAGAGGTAATGAAGAGACCAGTGATTCTTAAGCCATGGCAAATAATTTGGCATGGCTGGAGTATATGGAGAGTATGGTGGAAAATGAGGCTAGATCATTGGTATGCCACACTAAGGCATCTGGATTTTACCCTGTAGGTGATGAGGAGCCACCAAGGTGAAGTTCAAAGTAGCTACCATGTGGGATGGCAGGGACAAGTGACCCAGGCCTTTGACACCCAGAACCCTAGACTTCTTTGGGATTGGACATGAGGACACATTCACGGAAGCACAGAAAACCTTGGTTATGTGATTTTGCCAACCTTGCTTGACAGCCCAGGGTCAGAAATGAGACGGCAGATTCCCCGTTGCTCTGTTACCAATCTAGTCCTAACTCCAACTCACCCTGTAGATAGGCAGAGAACCGAAGACAATCCCTGCCTCTCTGTTTTCAGTCATAAAACCTTCCAGGGCATGTCTTCGAATCTGCAGAAGAAAGGAAGGAATAATGAAAAGGGCACATTCCAACAGAGGCAAAATAGCTGGATTCAATTCCTGATTCTGTCACTTACCAGCTGTGTGACCTTGGTCCATAGACTAGTTCCAAGGATCATATTCATATTCATATATATAAAACTAAAGTGCTCCACAAATGTAAGATTTGGTATTATTGCATTTTCATCACTGGTAACAATATGTCAAAAAGTATTTAATCACATGCCATGAGTTGGCAGAAAAAGAAATTAACAGGAAATAAATGAACAGATAAATATAACCGAGAACTGGGTAAAACAAGATGACTGGTGAAAATTAGATAATCCTAAGGGGAAGGCATTTTAATTCAACTTTAGCATTGAACTTTTATTATTGTACCAACCAGCTCAAGTAAGAAGAGGGCAAGGCTTGAAATATTTAGAGCATTCAGTTATTTTAAGGGTTCTAAAAACTTCTACAGACTTTCTCAAATTTATTCAATGTTTCATTTAAGTTACTTCTTCAAAACACGATTTCTTACCTTTCTCACCCCTTTAGAATCGAATATTAAAAGTGAATACTGATCTTTATTTCTAGGTAGTACAATTAATTTAATATTATTCAACAAAATCAAGTATCTGTTACATTTGTGCAGATATTTTTGCTCATAAAGTGCTTATGATTTAGTGGTGGAGGAGGGAAGTACAGGTAAGTATGCAAATAATTCTAATTTAACATAGAAGCTGCTAGTGCAACATGTTATGAGACACAAAGCAGGGGGCAATCAGGGCTTTTGAAGAAAGTGGAACCAACATTTATTAAGAATCTCAAATGGGCCGGCTGCTGTGGCTCACACCTGTAATCCTAGCACTCTTGGAGGCTGAGGCAGATGGATTGCTTGAGCTCAAAGAGTTGGAGACCAGCCTGAGCAAAAAGCAAGACCCCGTCTCTACTCAAAATAGAAATTAGCTGGGTGTTGTGGCAGGCACCTGTAGTCCCAGCTACTCGAGAGGCTGAGGCAGGAGGATTGTTTGAGCCCAAGAGTTTGAGGTTGCTGTGCAGGTCTCTAGCCAGAGTGACAGAGTGAGACTTTATCTCAAAAAAAAAAAAAAAGGAATCTAGAATGTATCTGGGGTACATTTTCGAATTTGATCCTCACAACTCTTCAAAGAATGTTCAGATGAGGAAAGAAATAAAATAACTTATCCAAGTTAAACCTCAGTCTGCTCAAGACACCATGTTCTTTCCCTTCTTGTCACGCTGTCTGGGGGGGGGGAGGCTGAGTTCCATTTGGACAGAAAAGTAGGGTTTTTGAAAATTGTTTCATTTGGAAAATGTTAAATATTAAATAGTCATTAAACATGAAGAGATACAGTAAAAGAATAAAGACGTCCTGAACTTTCAGCGACACTCATGGATCCCTCAACTTTGAACTTGTCAGTGCCGTTGTCTGGTTTCGCTCCCGCTCATCTGACCTTAGACATTAATAAAATCCTGAACTTGGTGCTTTTAATTCTCTTGCTTTTGTTTATGTAATTCTACCTTATAATGTTCTTGCTAAACCAATATTTTTTTTAGCTTTGTCTCTGCTTGCCTTTTACATAAATGAAATTATGTGTATATTCCTGTAAAACTTTTCTCATTCAATAGCATGTTTCAAAATTCATTTGAGTGGGTATTATTCTAGATCGCTTATTCTTATTGCTCTCCAATATTCCAATTTGTGAAAAAGCCGTAATTTATCTGCCCACTGCAGTCTTTGTGCTCATCAACTCTTACAAACACTACGCTCTGAGCATTCCTGTACCTGCCTCCTAAGCACGTTTGACAGTTTCCTCAGCGCATATGATTAATACGTTATGTCTATTTTCAACTTCATTAGATAGTGCCACACTGCTTTCCAAAGTGGCTCTAATTTGTGCTACTCCTATGAGCAGATTAAGTGTTCCGATTGTGCCAGAAAACACCAACTCTTGATATCATGAGACTTTTCTATATTGGTCATCCAGTTTCAGTGAGGGGATAATCACCCCCCTGTTGTTAACTTGCCTGGTTTTTCTCTATTGACTTTTAGGGGTTCTTTACACATCCTATGGGCTAATCTTTTGTCAGTTGTATGTGTTACAAAGGTAGAGTGGATTTGGACAGATGAAGAGAGACTGTGGGTGTGGCAAGGATATTCCAGTTGAACAACACTGCAGGGGCAGAAGCCTGAGAGGCGTGCTTGGTGCTGGAAACAACAATTACTCTGATTTGTAGAGTGTGGGGCCACCGTAGGGTAGTGATGGGCCATATGTTTAGAAAAGTTAATTTTGTGGAATATCTTGAGGAAACCAATTTTAATTAATTAATGCCAGGCCATCGTCTGAAGACATAGCCTATTTCCATTCTCTAGATGAGTTAAAAATAGAAACAGAAGGAACAGCAGCCCACTTTTATCTGCACTGAGGAAAAATCTGTCTCTGAAAGGTAGAACAATCTTGACGAACGATACCCACGCCCTAGTCTCTTCATTCCCAATCTGTGCATATATTGCTTTACTTTGCAGGTGTGATTTATAGTAAAATCCTTGAGATGGGGACATTATCCAGGATTATCTGTAGGCCCAATTCGAGCACGTGAATTTTTAAGAGCAGAGAACTTCTCCTGGGTTAGAGGGACCTGCATCCACACGGTCAGGGAGAGGCAACATTTTTGGCTTTGAAGATGAAGGAAGGGGACCCCAAACTAAGGAACACAGGGTTTTCTCCAAGAGCCTCTAGAAAGAGACTCAGTTGTGTTGTCGCCTCAACTTTAGCACGCTGAGACCCACGTTGAACTTCTGACCTACAGAACTGTAAGACAATTTGTATTGTTTAAGCCACCATGTTCATGGTAGTTCTTAAGAGCAATAAGAGAACACAGATATACTATATTACCAGACATATTTGAATTCATGAAAACAAAAACAAAGTTGTTTTTTTTTTTTAAAGCTACCTTGGGAGAGGAAAGAGACTTGAAAAACTTGAAATCATGTTCTACTTCAAAGGCCTTTGGAGGTGTACGTTTAAAAAGTAAAGACATGGAGCTCATGTTTTTCCATCTGCACAGAAAGATACAAGAAAAAATGTTAAGTACATATCTACACTCTTTATCCTCTGCCTATTAAACAATGCCCATTATGTCCTTTTTATCAGGAGCCCAAATTTCCTGGATCCTGTGGCATTAGTCCCAGTGACATTATCTCTACACCTAACTTATTCAGCTTGGCTTTCTAGGTGTCCCTCTATGAAAAGCATTGCGATTTCTACTGAGCTACGATATTCCGTGAATTTAAACTCCTTAATAGCCATTGGGGAAGGGAACTGTATAGTTGGGATGGGGAAGCCTCTTTTACAAAACTTGCTTTTTACTCAGGGAAACTTAGTCAAAACTTAGAAATAGGCTCGGCGCCTGTGGCTCAACCGGCTAAGGCGCCAGCCACGTACACCTAAGGTGGCGGGTTTGAATCCCCAGCCCGGACCCGCCAAACAACAATGACGGCTGCAACCAAAAAATAGCCAGGCGTTGTGGCGGGCGCCTGTGGTCCCAGCTACTTGGGAGGCGGAGGCAGGAGACTCGCTTGAGCCCAGGAGTTGGAGGTTTCTGTGAGCTGTAATGCCACGGCACTCTACCCAGGGGGATAGCTTGAGGCTCTGTCTCAAAAAAAAAAAAAAAAACTTAGAAATATTATATATTTAGAAAGTCATACCTAGCCATTATACACATTTTCAAAAGACAATACATATGCCTTGAGATGAAGTTATTCTACAGAAGACGGCCTATTCTGCTACAGATAGAATCATAGTTATTTGGTAATAACAACATAATGTGAGCATCTATCCTATATTTAAGTTAGCCTGAATATAGTGTATCTTTTCATACTTCTTTATCTACCATTTACAGCTGTTCCCACTGCTTGTAATATTTTTAATTAGTCATTATTTCTACAAAATAATCTTTTGATTGCCTACCATGTGCTAGGCGCTGAGCTAAGAACTAGGGGTACAAAGATACATGAAACAGAGTCTCAGGCCTCAAAGAACCCACAGTATAGTAAAGAAGACACACATTAACAAATTAGAATCCATTGGCTAAAGTACTAAGACATATGGATGTTCAAGAGCAATTATACAAAAGGCAGGGCCTGTTGCTTCACGTGGTGGATTCTCCCACCCCTTGATAAGGCTCGTCTCTGCCACACTGCCTCTTGTATTTTGGTCAGCCCTCTTCTCCCGTGCTCATTACCGGCCTTCCAAGGCAAGCCGTGAAACCCTGATGGGGTTTTGGCATCACCTGCAACTCTTCTTAATTGTTCTTGTTAATCCTATTTTGATCCAAATTCTGTGCGGTCTCTGTTTTTTAGCTTTAATTCCTATTTGTAGCCCTTCTGTCATTCCTTGGATTAGATAATAACAGTACATCTCCTTAGCTTTGTCTCACTGAGGATTTCCCTAAAGGACTTCATCTTTGACAGCTCCCTTTGATTCTTGCCATTTGGACTCATCCTCGTCAGGTCCCTCAGCTCTGATCTGCTGGATGTCACCAGTCTAGGGGGGTCAGGTCCTTAGGGCTAGACACTTAGAAATTCACCCTGTAGAGTTAATCTTTGCTGATGTTGAAAGTTCAGATGAATATCCATCTCTTCCTTTGTGACAAAGGCCCAACCCTAGTAAAAACCAGGCTTGAAATTTGCAAGAACACGACATAGCCTCTCACTAATATTTTATTCTCTGTCCTCCCTCCTCTAAGCTTTTAAGCACACTCAGCTCCATCCTACTCTCCCCCACCCAAATAAGCAATTGCTTCTTTGATCTTTGGTTAATTCCTGTTTACCTTCCTATTATTACTTTAAGAATTAGATATTCACTAAAGTACTACTAGACTGCTTTTTGCTTACATATTTCTCCTTCACTGGATTGCACAATCCTTGGCAAATTCTGTGTCTTTCACCTTTGAGTTTTCCTTGTCCAGAACGGTGTCACAGTACCCACAACAGTTAACTCTGGAATCCTCAACTAAAGAAAAGCCAATGGTCTTACCTTTCCCGGTCAAATACCAGAGGATATTCATATTTTTGATGCTTCTCTGTGAACTTGCTTTCTTCTTTTATTTCTATGGGATATTCACTAACATCACAAGGCAGAATGAAATCGCCTGTCTGTGATAACTCAAAGAACCTTCGCTGCCCCAAATATCCACAATAATGACCATTGAGGGCGTGCCAGAGCCTAAAGACAAATAAGGGAAGGGAGGGAAAAGTAACTGGGAAATTCAGTACAAGTTCTTTTGTTTATTAGATCTAGATTTGTGCTGGCCCGTTAAGGACTTTAAAGTTGAGTCCCAGATTCTTCTTTATTAAATACTGTGAAGCTAATCATAATATAAACATTTTTATCGTTAGACCCTAATCCACAACCTTTTGGGGAAATATTAATTTGAATATGTACTTATGGTACCTATTTATTAAAGCTAAAAAATAAGAAACAGATTTTTCCTGAAATAACACAGCCCACTGAAGCTAATCAGAACCCATGCTAAGTCTTTAGTTAAGGACAGATTAACTAATCAACCCACGCTAAATCTCTAGTTAAGGACTGATTAACTAATCAGAACCTGCGCTAAGTCTTTAGTTAAGGACTGATTAACTAATCAGAACCACGCTAAGTCTTTAGTTAAGGACTGATTAACTAATCAACCCACACTAAGTCTCTAGTTAAGGACTGATTAACTAATCAGAACCCACGCTAAGTCTTTAGTTAAGGACAGATTAACTAATCAACCCACACTAAGTCTCTAGTTAAGGACTGATTAATCAGTACCCATGCTAAGTCTTTAGTTAAGGACTGATTAACTAATCAACCCATGCTAAGTCTCTAGTTAAGGACTGATTAATCAGAACCCACGCTAAGTCTTTAGTTAAGGACTGATTAACTAATCAGAACCCACACTAAGTCTTTAGTTAAGATTAGTTAAACTAGACTGCAGAATGGGATATGTCCTAGCTGCCTACTTTTGGAGTCAGCATCAACAGAACTTGTAGGAATAGAGACCTAGTGATGCTTTGACTATTACCAAATTCTTCTTACACTCCATCCACTATTGCTACTCTTGTGAAAATACCAATAGTTGTAATTTTTACAACTGATTTCTGAACTAGGATGGCAAAAGAAGTGGCACTTTATCCAAATGCATTAGTTCGCCATCAGTGTACTCCAAGAGGTGCCTGTAAATACCCACGTGGTTCAAAGTAATACAGAATATCATCACCAGGAGTGTGTGCCCTGGGTCATCTGGAAAGATAAAGTAGTATTTAGAAGATCCTCCTTTGACTTCTTCATTTCACCTGCAGAGTAGCAGATGATGGAAGCAATCACCATGTGTGTTCTGCTGCAATGACCCAAAAGGACGGCCCAGGCTAAAGGAACTAAGAGTGGATTCCACAAAGTCCTGGTCGTGTCGCACCTCAAAGAGACAGACCCTGAGAGGAGGCAGGAACAGAGGTACCCAGGTGAGACCCTTCACGCTTGACAGTGTCCTGGGGACTTGATGTGAGCATCTTACAGCCCTGATGTGTACTAATTCTCCAGCACTACAGCAATGCTGTGGCCTTGCAGGTGCCTTTACCAAAGGAAACAGACCCCCCCTTTTAAATGGAAATCTAGAACAGTGAGGGACTAACTTCAGAAGAACTGTAAATTTATTCTGCATTAGTCCAGGACTGAAGTGATTTTGGTCTCCTTGTTTCAAGGTATCTCTTGCTATACATGGAACTCTCTCAAATAACTGATCCTGCCCCTCTGCTTCATTTCTTGGGCCTCAGAAATGGATCCTTAGCTACCCTGAGCCTCATTCTGCCTCTCTGAACGTCTGTCTTCAGACTGACTGTCTCTGCTGTGTTCCAGAGTTAAGCCTAAGTTATTTTTGTTTTCTATTAAAAATCATAATCTTTTTGACAAACAAGATTTAAAATGTTAAAATTGCCTGTCTCTTTAGAAAGTGGCAGCTAGTGTTTGAGAAAGGACATGGCTTAGTTATGAAAACAGCTGAACTCCGGAGAAAGCTATTAATAGAGCCAGGCTCTTTGAACTGAGTATCTAGGGAGATTTTCACCTGAAAGAACCAGAAAAGTAATTTCTCCATGCCAAGAATAACTGGTTTGAGCAGTGTGATAGCCTGAATGTTTGTGTTCTTCCCCAATTCAGACATTGAAACCTAATCCCCGATGTAGCAGTATTGAGGTGGTGCCTTTGGGCGGTGTTTAGGCCATGAGGGCAGTTCCCTCATGCATGGAACTTGTGCCTTAAAAAAAAAAAGCCTGTGGGAAGTGGTTTGCCTCTTCCACCATGCAAAGATACAGCTAGAAGGCATCATTTATGAAGCAGAGAGCAAGCTCTAACCTTGACCTTGGACATCCCAATCCTCAGAACTGTAAGCACAAGATACCTGTTGCTTATAAATAAATTATGCAATCTAAGGTATTACGTTACAGCAGCCCAAACAGACTAAGATAAGGAGGGAAGACTTATAACAACAGAGGCATGGGGATGTGGGGTTGGGCTGTGTTTGTCTGTGTTATAATCTCCACTTAACACTTCTGAAAAGAAACTAGAGCAGAGACCAAGTAACTGAGTTGTTAAAAACGTCTCTAATAATGAAAGGACACGGTCTAAATCTTTCCTACAGATAAAACAGCAGATGTCCTTTCAGATGGAAGAAGTAGTTCTAACCATTTGCCTCCAAAGATTCACCTCCTATTCCACATTTCTACAGGTCTTCCTTCATCCTTCCAACATTCTAAACATTTTCCTTTTTTGGTACTGCCTATCTTATGGCTGACACTAACATTTGCCACGCTGTACATGCCAGGGTCCTTCTTGACATTTATCACTTACCTCCCCTTCCAGCTAAAGTTCATGTCTTCTCGGTGTTACTTCCCAGATAGTTCCCCAATCTAAACCACTTCATTTCCAGCACTGTTGCCACTCCCCTAATTCAAGCCACTGTATCCACTGTGGACTTCAGCTTGGTCTCCGTGCTCCCACTTTTGCTCCCCTCCAATCCATTCCCCACACATCATCTTTTAAAAATGTAAATCAAACCATATTACTCACCTGCTTAAACTCTTTCATTGGTTATTTCTTTAAAGGGAAATATCCAAATTCTTATCAATGCTTACTACACCCTGCAAGCTGGTCCCTACCTAACTCTCTAGCCTGAAGTCCATGTGATTGGCTAGGATCTACTGAATTTCAGTCCAGGGACTTTCACAGAAATAAAAATTCCTTCCTTTCTGTTTTTACTATGTTTAAACTCTTTAATAGACTTTAAAGTCTCTCTTCCTCTCTTAATCTTACCTAATTTCTTCTAAGAGGGTAATTCATTACTATTACTTCAAGACCTTTCAATACACAGCAATTTTTTTCAGAAATACCACCATGTTTCTTTTCTTTTTCTTTATATATGTATGTGTTTTTAGCATTTTATATATAGGTACTTAGCATTGGCTAGATAGTTAAAAACAACTAAGCTTTGGCTAGGAACGGTGGTTTACCTATAATCTCAGCACTCTGAGAGGCCGAGTGGGTGGATCCTTTGAGCTCAGAAGTTTGAGACCAGCCGGACCAAGAATGAGACCCTGTCTCTACCAAAAATAGAAAAACTAGGTAGGAGTTGTGGCAGGCAACTGTAGTCCCAGCTATTCAGGAGGCTGAGGCAAGAGGATCACTTGAACCTAGGGGTTTGAAATTGCCGTGAGGTATGACATCATGGCACTGTACCCAAGACCACAGAGTGAGACTCTGTCTCAAAAACCAAGCTTTGCAAAATCAATCAAAATGCCAATGAAGGTATTAGCTCCCTGCCTTTCCTTAGCATTAGTTGCTTTTTTCTATTACTTTTCTACAACTTCTGTTCCTAAGCCTCCGTCTATAATTTTCTCTGGGCTTGTACCACTCTGGCTCTCTGATCTTGCTGAATTCTTTGAAATAATTCTACAAAAAAACCTTTTGCTGAAAGCATTTAATATACTTCTTAACACAGATAAAATATGGTATCTCAATTCTTTGAGCAGGGAAAAGAATTCCAAATAAGTGGCCCACCTTCTTAAAGCCCTATTGTGCTACCTTTACATTTATCTATTTATTTATTATAATCAGTTTAGCAAGATTGACTTTGAGTCATATACTTTAGCTTTATCTTAAAACCCTGAATTGATAGTGCGAGGCCACCTGGCTTACCTTACTGAGCCGTCAATGGAGGCAGTAAGCACCACTTGTTTCTCTTCTACGTAGATCACTTGAATAATTTCCAAAGAATGAGCACGCCAGGAAAGCAGCTGCTTAAATTTCTAGATAAAAACAATTAGGCATATCCCTTGGAATAAGTGTGTGCTGGTTGAAATACATGTGTAATCTTGAACAAAATCATTTTCTTACTGAGCTAAATCTATGAGCGAATGCTGTCGACATCTCTGCTAAGAGGTGAAGTCTCTACTCCCAATTAGCTGTACCCTTGCTTGTTGGGGTACCCAGAGTCCCGTTTTTAGACATGTATTAATCTGCACAGATCCCCGAGAGAGGAAGTACATAGTATTTTATGTCTTTAGCAATTTATCATGTAATTGAGAATTAAAAATTCATTCAGTTGGTGATTATTAGATGATTAGGTGAAAGAAATGCCTTCGGAGAGAGTTGCAAGGGGACTGAGAGTGAATATGAGCAAGAACAGAAGGGAACATAGTTGGAAGGTGAAAGCTAGTGGTGTGATTGGCAAAAAGACTTTTCCTCTTTTCCAATTTATCTAGAGGTAGCATTGGCTATTTTTTTCTTTTGAGATGGGAGGTATATACCATAAGGAATTAAGAAAGAGGATCATCCCAGCTCATTCTCTCTCAAAAACATCACAAGGCCTGACTGGTCCTGTTTCTTAAGGATGTGGGTTAGCCTTAAGTTTAGAACCCTTAATGGGCCTCAGAAGACATTTCCAAAATGAAATGAACTAAAACTGTCGACTGGGAGCTTGAACTTCAATAACACCCTCTTGGAGTATATTTTGCTTTATATTGATAAGCCCAGACAACTTTGTACTTTGTTGTGGATCCTCTACCTTGCAGTTTCTTTGAAACAACAATACTGGGAGAGAACAATCTCTTGTTCTAGACTGACATATAATGTATTCATTATAGTTGTATCCTATAGGCGGACGTAATTAATGCACTGCTGTATATTATATAACACATTGATCCATGAAATAATGAGGCAGGTTATAGCCTTGTCCTGCAGGTCTGATATATACTTATAAGTAGCAGCCATGTACAAACTGGATAACCATCAGAGTACAGAATAGCTTGAAGTAAGGTTGAATATGGAAAAATTATAAAAGTTTTTAAAATAGATTTTCTTCTAAGTTAGTGAAAATGCTTTAAAATCATTTCCACTATCATTGTAACTCAGTATTATATAACTTCATTTCAAATATTTTCTCTGGATTTTGTAATTTTTTTTTTGAGACAGAGTCTCAAGCTGTCACCCTGGCTAGAGTGCCTTGGCATCATAGCTCACAGCAACCTCCAACTCAGACTCAAGCAATCCACTTGCCTCAGTTTTTCGATTTTTAGTCTTACTATTGATTAAGCTGGTTTCCAACTCATGAGCTCAAGAAATCCACCTGCCTTGGCCTCCCACAGTGCCAGGTTATAGGCGCAAGCCACCACGCCTGGACTGAATTTTGAAATGTTTTGATTGTTAGTTTATAAAAATTCTATCTGCAACATTGTAGGTTTTGAATTATATTTTCATCTGTTAAAATTAATAATACATTAATTTTAAAAATAATGACTATTAATAATCATTTACTGTAGAGAAAAATATTTAGGTAAACTTTCGGCTCGGCGCCTATAGCTCAGCCGGCTAAGGCGCCAGCCACGTACACCTAAGGTGGCAGGTTC